CTCCCCCCCAGTTGGAAAACCATCTGCACGTCCATGAAACAATGCTTGATCCTTCCCCAAAGAGAATCATGTTAGTATATGAATCATGCAGGGTACTAGAATAATGTGACATTTGCTGTTTCACTCTAGTACCCTCTTGACTGAAACAGGGTAACTTCCAGAATAGCTATGCGTCTCCATCCCCGTGCTCTCCCCTTTGAGATCCATCTCGACCACTCCTTGTCCACCGACTCCTCCTGAATGATGGTCTCAATATCCTTGTGAGTCGAACACGGCAAGTCTCGCCGGGCTACACCAGAAAGACCACCACACTTAGCCATTGTGAAAATACGTTTGCCCTAAGCAGACATAGGAATATGTTGGTCCGTCTGGCTGTTGAGTCCCAATGTCCCGAAGCACGATACGTGTCCAAAACCGGCCGAAGAGAAATATCAAACCCAATTCGCAAGGGCTTTCGCGGGGCTGCCGGGCTTCTCTTGTGAGAGTTCTCAACGAGGCGAGGCGCTTGTGCGAGTGTATAATCTTGGGCTTCAATGCTCGTGTTGGCTTTCGCAGCACATGAAAACTGCATGTTCTTCTCTTTCAAAAGTGCGCAAGCTTGAGCTAATTAAGACTTGATGGGCGACATGTAAAAACATGGGAGGAACATGGTTGGCGGGAAGGCTGCAAGTTGCCGAGCAAAATGCCATTGTTTATCCATCCATAGGCATAGGTCTTCCTTTAGGCACTTGTTCCTTGTATGTGTCCATTTCGGGCATCCAAAAACGCTCAAGTAGAAAACAACCGTCCACTGATTTCCGCTCTTTTCCCTCTGATTTCCGCTCATTTCCCGGCCGATTGCGGATCATTTTCCGGGAGAAAACTGGCCAAATCATGCAACATCATGGTTGCCGCTCATTTCATGTTTTTCCGCTGCTGCTGCTGCTACTGCTGCTGGATGCATCTCTGCTACTGAAAGGAAACCAAACTGAAACCCTTGCCATTTTATTGAACCGATTCCTCTTGTCAGAAACGCCCCAAAAGGAACGCACTAATTCGTCGCCGCCCTGGACCATTTTTTCACGCCGGGCCTGCTCAAAGCCCGCGATCTGATCAGCCCAGTGTTGGATGGCCTCACGGGGAGAAAAAACATGAACCTTGGCTTGCTGGTGCGATAGGAAGGAAAAGGCCCTTATAAACCATGCCACTGATGGTTTCCTTTACAGGAATCCCCAGGTTCGTTCCCACATTCCCTACTGAGCACCAGCAAGTTGATTCATCAACCATCGACCTTCGACCCTCAAATGACCCGTGGAAAAATGGTAAGTAGCCCATAACAGGCCACGGAATACCTACCCACAGAAAAACAAAGACTGGGCAAACTGTTGCGTTCTATACGATAATTGTGTACGTGACAATTTAAAGCACAAGTACAAGAACACAACCCGTACCATTTTTAGGGTTGGACCCCGAATCCCTGATTTCACGCGGAAAACAACAGCAAGCTGAAACCATCATCCAAGCGCTTGCCTCTGCTGCAATGCTGCGGCGCAGGACCTTGGACTCCACCTGACTGCAGCCTCGAACCAAAGTGAAGCAGTTTGCTTGGGTTTGGGGTCTACCCAGTCTACCCGGCGGGAAGTGGGCATGAATGATAGAAAAAAAGAAAGTAAAGACAACAAATATAAATATATATATATATAAGAGACAACAAAAACGTGAAATGGGGATTCATGTCCAGCCGCTTGTAAGGTGGACATATAAACTTCACGGCCAAATGGGTGTTGCAAGAAGAGACTGCAACATGGGTGGGTTCCTTGAATGTTTCCAAAGGCAAACTCGACAAAGGAGGCCCTCCAACAAAATGGAGCCAAACCCAAATCCTCTGAATCACATTCTCTCAGCTCCCAGCACTGCCGACCAAGCTGCTTCACCTCGCCACGAGTCCGCGTGCAGCTTTCTGTTCCCTGCTCTCCCTGCGCTATTGGCACTTGTCGCTTAGAAGACTTGAAAAAAAGTCAGCGAAAGATTCATCCCTTGGCACATGGCCTTACTTTGGATGATCCCTTGTACCCTTTACTTTGGATGTGCCCGTCGCCAGCCTTGACGTACTCCTCCGGGGTATAGATGGTCACTGCCCGGCCCACCCGGCCCATTCGAGCCTGGCACGAAGGTGTTGGGTTTTTTTCGGTGGAAAAGAACGTGGGAGCTTGGAATCAAATGAACGAGAAGCTTCTCGCTTCACACTGAGATGTTAGTCAAATCACATTCTACGATTCAAATTGCTTGGGCGCCAGCCGGCCAAAAAAAGACACAAAAAACCGCCATAGAACAAAACACACAACAAACGCACATCCAACTGTCCACTGGGGTTTTAGGATCTTATGATGCTTAAGTCCCCTGGAAAAAAACACATATTTCCAGTAGCCATAGATTCCCTGACAATACCAAGAGGGGAAAATCCATCTATTAACCAAACGGAAGCAAGTTGCCCCGCGCATTTTCTATACCTGGACCCACCGTGGGCACTTCTTTTGGGACAGTCCGCCTAAATCCGTCCGTTTCTGGGAAAAGCGTACGTGGCAGCAAAAAACGGTCCGTTTCTTAGGTCGTCCTTCCTTTGCAATCCCACATAGGGAACAGTCCCCTTTTGCGTCGCCCCGCTTCAACATGCTTTGGCCGAAACATTGAGATCTGGCTGATTTTTAACTGCCTTACGCAAGGGTTCTTACGTGTCAAAACCGTTTGCGGGAAGCCTTGCGGCTTTGCCAACAGCGTCCTCATTTGCTTCGCAGCTATATATGACAAGTGCGCAAGAACAATCCATCAAGGAATGAAGGCAACAAAGCTCTTATTTACAAACGGCCCGCCACAAACACCAGTCCTAATAGTCTCTGTAGGCCACGCTCGATGCTCGTATTTCACAAGCCCATAAGAATTCAACACATGCTTTCCCAAAACTCTTGACGGATGCACGTAGCTTTGCGTATTTGAGTCTACAGCTCTTAAGGGAAGCAAGAAGCCGAGGACTTTCAGCTAAGGAGCTTCGCCCATGGCTTGAGTTCTCAAAGATTCCGCACGCGACAAGGCAGACAAGAAATCTCGACAATGAACACAGCGCGTGAATCATAGCTTTGCACAATCTAGGTTCCCACGACCACAAGACGCGTAGAAACCAGGTATTATTGGAATCCGTTGTTTTCCGTCCGTTTCCCGTCTTTTTTCCGTCCGTTTCCCGCCGTTTTCCGTCTGTTTTGTGTCTTCCAAAGTCAGACAAACTTTGCAACATGTTGCATGAGCACATCAACGGGGGCAAAACAATTAGGTCCGCCTTGCCCGGCCGCTCTCAGAGCTCAACAGGTAGGCAATCTCAAAACATTGGTGGATATTGAGCTCCTTGCAGCCGTTGGCAAATCGACTTACACCAGTTTATGCGCATCTGAGTGAATGTTCTGGTAGGCCTTCTGGTTGAACATGTTCAGTACCGTTGCTCGTGGCTACTGGGGCGGGCCACAAGGATTTTTTGCCGTAGAAGCAACGCACACCCCAAGTCTTGCGTTTGACAAGTTCTTTCTAGGGGCAATCGGGAAGTCGTCAAATCTTGCATGGGGGAGAGATGTTGGCATGCAATACTCTGTTGTGACAACATGTGACAACGTGTGAGGCCCTGCTTACTTGATTTGCGCTATAGAACCTTTGGACTGCAGCTGGCTCAACGCATTGATGCAGAATGGTACCAGGGGGTGCACCTGAAAGGGTTTTGTTAGAAAACAAGTGGAGCAGGCAGGCGGTTGGTCAAAAGCTTTGCAACGGAAGCATGCAAAGACATAGCCTCCGCAAACTAGCTGGGAAAGAAAGAACAACAACTGCCTCAATTCCTCCAAAACTGTTTTCCGTCCGTGGGTCCTCAAAAGAGTCAGCTGACGGAAACTTGTGGCACAGACGGAAATTTCCATGCTTTAGGAAGGTCCAGGTATATTTTTTCACCTCGCTCTCACAGCGCCGCCGTCCAGCCGAAGCTGCGCGCCGCGAAGGCCGCCAGGGCGGCCGGGCCTCGATGCTCGGGGGGGTCCAAAGGCGTTGGAACCGGAACACCGCACCACCCAAACATCTGAAAGAGACGTTTCCAACCTGCCCACAGGCGTTAAACCGTTTTTTTTCTTCTTTTTTTTGCTGGACCATCTAAGGTGGATGAGCACCCTTTTGAGGGGTTTGCGTTTGCAAGAGCGGAGCCTTGTTGGGGCGGGTTTACAGGGAAACCACAAGTCAACAACTACCTTGTTCTTGAAGGGGGTCCCTGATATAATATCACCAGCCTGACCCATCGAGCTGGTGGAGTTCTGGGCAATCCCGGGGTTCATTCCGGGAATACGTTGGATCAAGCTGATAAGTACAACCTCTGCTGAGTGTCCATGATATAGCTTCGCAACTCGTATGCGCATTAGGTTCAGAGGAATCCGTGACAGCACATCCACCTTGTCACACATCCGAAAACCACACGCGCTAAACCACTACAAGGATTTGCATGCTCTAAGGCTGGTCCGAAGCATGGTGGGTCTTTTCGAAGGGGACATTTAAAATGGACGCCAACGCCCAGTGCCGTGCAACACACGCTCCCAAATGCGGGAAGCCAAAACGACACCTGCCAGACTACACACATGGAAGGCGTTTGGCGAAATCAGGAAGGCCGGACAAACGCTGGATATACCTGGAGCTTGTTGGGAAGGTTCTCTCGATCGGCAAACAAGACAATTGCTGGAGATACATAAAGCAAGTTGAGAATGGCCAGGATTTGTAGAATGCTGCGCAGTTGTCCAAAGAAACAAACGCTTTGTGTACCAGCTGACCGAACTAGGTCGGCTGCAACCGCGCCTTTTGGCGATTCATTGCCGGAAACATCCGGCTCGCAAACTGCAGCTCCTCGCGGCTGGCTTTCTCTACGGCCTCGATGGATGCTTTCCACGTCGGGGCGGTCAACAGGTCCAGCGCCTCGACCAGTAGCTCCAGCACGTCGGACGCATTCAACGCGTCCCAGGCAAGAATGCAACATAGCGCTTTCCCTCGATCTGCGGGTTTCCATCAAAGGCACCCTCCTCAATCTGTGTGACACAGCTCATCAAGTAGACCTCAGCTGCGCTCGCGTTTGTGCTTCAACAATCATCTCCTGACACGGTGTTCTTGGAGGAAACCCGACAATTGAATTCGCAACTCGGAAACCCTCACCTTCAGATCACCTGGGGGAACAATCCCATCACATTTTTCTACAGCCTCTCTCGGCATCCCAGGTGCTGTTTCCAGAGCGGGGCAACCCGCGAAGGCGTCCGCCTCGATCTTCCAAACTGCAAGGGGAATGGTCACAGTCCTCAAGGCGCTGCACCCGAGGAACGCCTCTCGTTCGATGATTCGAACTCTGTTGGGCACCTCAGCGTCCGAAAGGGCTGGGTGTGGTTCACATGAAACCACCAGAAAAAGGACCGCAGGTTCCAAGGTCCATGTCTCCATTTACTAAGGATCCATTTTGGGTACCTATGTTTGACCCACAGCCGGGTTTCAGAGTGAGGAGCTTGCTGGACTCCTGGCTCTTTGCTTTCGAGCTAAGCACAAAAGGAAGGACTTGCAAACTGGCGACACATCTCCTTCGGGCATTAACTGCCCGCAGTTCTTGTATGGGCGGCGGAGCTGTTTGCTCAATGGTCACACTGCGCAAAGACGAACACCCTCTGAAGGCGCGCTGACCAATGTAGCAAACTGCTGCGCTGAGCGCTAAACTCTCCAGGAGGCTGCAGGAGCTGAAGGCTTCTGGCTCAATCAAGCCCACACTATGGCCTAACGTCACGCTCAGCAAGGACTTGCAGGAATCGAAGGTCAATGGCCAAATCCTCAGCTCAGTGAACTTTGCCACCTTTTTGGGTTGGTTCAGTTTAAGGGTAAACCCTTCCCGCCCACACAAAATGGATATTGAATATATATATATATATATATATATATTTGACTATATATATATATATGTATGTATGAATTTACCACGCTGAGAATCATGTCCACGAAGCTGGGAATGGCGAGGTGTTGCAAGGAGCTGCCTTGAAAGGCCCCTCTGCCAAGGGTAACAAGCTTGGCAGGCATGGTCAGCAGTTCCAGGGAGCTGCAGCCTTTGAAAGCATCGCGTTCTATTTCAGTGACTGAATCCTCGTGGATTTCCATACGGAAACCAACACCGAAAAACGGGCACCGACATTTTTGGAGTTGGTTGGCTTTAACGGGAACCCCCCCCCCCCCAACAGGAAAAAGAAAGGGTGCCAGTGGGCAGCTAGGGATCAGGAATGATAACCTTGACCAGGGAATTGCAGTCACTGAAGGCTGCTTCTTTAATTTGATTACATTCCGGTATCTCTACCACCACCAAATCCTGCAAATCGCAACCAGCCGATTCTTTGCTGGAGCACTGTACCGGTGCGTACGTACTGAACAGGACTTGGACAGCCGTCTCTGGAGAAATTCCTGCCTGTGTCATGGTGTCCTCATCCACCAACTTTCGTTCGCCCAGCACGAGATCCACCCGACTTAACATAAGCCTCAAGTGTCACTTGGCGCTCACTTGCCCAAAGGACACAGAAATATAAGTTTACCTTTTGGGACATTGACTAAAAGTAGACCAAGACCAAAAAGCAAAAGGTCAAAAGGTCGGCTTTGGGCAAGTGAGAGGCTCATCGTCGAAAGCCTGCCAACCTTTCACTCGAGACCTCAGTTCGCCGACCGTGGTCTCAGGCATCACTTCGAGAATCGTGACTTTTCCATTCAGCTGGCGGACTGGAATCCTCATTGCCATGGCGAAGAGCTGACTGCAGTTCCGGAGCGTCTGAAACAAAGCAGCAACCTGGCTAGGGAGACACCCATGTGCACGCTGAGCCAAGCACAAGGCAGGCCAGCCACTCTTAAGATGCATGGTTCTGGAAAATGACACCATTTCAGTGAAGGCCAATTTCCATCGGGTTATTGCTTGGGCTCCCCAAGATTATCTCTCTAGGAACAACCTCAAACTAAAGGTTTTCCAGGTGTGCAGTTTGCTTCACCGAAAAAACCTGCCTATCGGTGCGGGAAGTCATGCCTTTTTTTTTGCGAGTGGAGGTTTGACACCGGGTTGCAACATCCTCACTGCTCTGGACTTCAATCTGAGTTCACTAGCCAGCCCTAGCACCTCACATGAAAATTCATGAGTGCAACTCACTTCGGGCTCACAACCTTCATGAAGAACTTGCGAAGCCACTCGAACTGACACCAATCCCTGTTTGTTTCGGGTTACCCTTGTGGGGTTGAAGGAATGGAAAGGGAAACCAAAGGGAGAACCACCCATTTTGTGGGGTTCCCCTTGACACAACCCTGCGAACATTGCAGCGGAAAAGTAGCCCAAGTTCAGCATAATCCGTGGAAACCTGTAATTACTATGGAGTCTTCAAAAATGATATGTCCGAAGTACTTGGTCAACCTACCCCATGCCCAGGATGCAAATCTTGCGTTTCAAATGCAAACATGCGCTTTCTGTTCAATGGAAGTGGGTTTCTGGGGCTTCCATTTCCAACAATTCCAGTCTTCTGAACCCTCCCTGTCAGGTCAGCTTCCATTGTGGGAGGGAGAGTAAGATGCTCCCAAACGTCAAAGGGTTGCCATCTCGAGGTGTCCCGCCTGTTCGGCCAAAGGGGCTTCGAAAGCTCCCAAAAGCCGGGCTTGAGGCTCCGGCTCTCCACTGGCCACATGTGGCCTCCGTCCACCACCTGGGCTTGAGAGTTCAGGGCTCGCCGATGGAAGTGAAAGGCCTTTGAAATCTTTTGGAGAAGAAATGCTCACTGGCTGAGTGGATGGCCCAAAAAAATAGTCCAAGACTTACCACTAAAATGGTCTTCCCAAACTTTATCTTTTGAAAATAAATCTGGCTATGGGTCAAAACCCAAATCGTACCCCCAGTGAGCGGGACGCAACCCAATCACTAAAATAGGTTCCAAAATGGGTGGCGAATGCACCTACCCCAAATTGGATTCCATTGGTGTTGACCCACGGCCATATTGAAATGGTGTGAAAGCTTTGGCAGCTCGAAACTCCGAACGCCGAGAAGGAGAAAGCAGTTTGAGAATGCCGGTCATAGCACAACAATGTAACAAACCGATACTCACTAGCAGGATGCAAAGATTTGGCAGGGGAACCGCTTCTTCCATTTCTCTTGCAAAGAATCATGAGTGTGATATCCGATCGAACCCGTCAATGTGTCGCCCAACCAACGAGTCAATCGGAACTAGATTCCTCACGGGTGCACTGAGTTCGGGTGGTGCAACATGGCGAGATGTTCCCCTCATTTGAGGGCTTCTTATCTTGGCTGCAAATGCCCAAACCCTTACGGCTCGAGATCCAGAATCTAGAGGGTCCAATGCTGAGGTACCACTCCTTGAACGCAGGCCTCCCTACGCCACAAACTAGTCATTTGGGGGCTTTGCTTTGGCGACTCACAGAAGGTGGTCAGCTCAAACCAACACTTTGTGTCCACAGTCTTGTGGGTATAGGGAGGCCCTGAAAAGATAGACTTCGGTGTTCCTTCTGTTTTCAGTGTAAAGCAACTTGAACAAGATCTGGCTACTAGGTTGCTCCAAGCCCTGAGCAAAAGGTCCATCACCCTTTGCGGGCCTGGACAACATCCCATTTCCGCCTCCAACAGGTCTCTCCGGATGCGAAACACTTTCGGACCCGGTCCGGGTCCCCCGACTTCCATTTGGTTAAGGCCCCCCCTTTTAAAACAAGGAAAATAAATAACAAATAGTCTTAAGCAAATGAAGGCCGGGTGTCGAGCGACTGAGGCCCCCCACTGCGATCCGTGGAGCTGGCCGCAAGGCCCCGAAGATCTCCTGCGCCACCGGCGCGCTCCACATGGTGTCCCGGCTGCCCAGCGCCACGTGCAGTGCGCCTGAGGCGCGCCAAACAGGCGCCCGGAAAAAATATATGCAGGCGGGGCCCCAAGTCAAGGACCAGCATGGGCTTTCACTGGCGAAAAAACACACCCTGAAAATCGGTGAGCTGAGGACAAACTCATTCTAGAGAAAACGGCGTTGGATCCGAGATCGACACATGGAGCCCCTAAATTTCAAGCCTGGGCATGTGAGCAACAAACTTCGAACTAACAAACCTCCCACCTCCCCCCCTTTGTTCCATGCGGACGCCGAGCGTCAGCCGTTGAGGCCCTTGGGCCGGCGCAGGGCCTCCAGCAACGCCACTGGGACCTCGCAAGCACAAGGAACATCGCTTGGCAAAATGCATCGCTTGGGGAAATTGGGAAGATTTACACCAAACGGATGGCTGTGGGTCAAAACCCTATACCCCTGGTGAACATCAACATAGGTGGCAAATGGATGTTCATCCACCCCAACATGGAGCCATTGGTTATGCCGCTACCCCATGGCCAGATTGAAACATGTGGTAGCCTTGCAGAGGAGATGCGCTTCTTCTCAGTCGTCAAGCCATCTAGGCGTCACAATCTCAGCTGCTCCTTGGGGGTGCCCAAAATGGACCAAGCTTGGAAACTCAAAAGGTCGGCTTTGGGCGAGTGAGCATTTGGCTCTTAATTGAGAATGAGAAGTTGGCAAGATTCACCCAAACCGTTGGTAAATATGGCAAGTGCTTGAAACTTGGTAACATGAAAGGTTGCTTCTGAGTTGGACCTTAATCTTTGGTTGTGTTAATAGCCCATCTTGCTGGTTCTTATTTCAGCTAATTGCCCGTGTAAATACCATGGTTCTCCCCAGCTTCCAGGCTTTGGGTAACATTTTATTGAAGCATCCCTTCTGGAGGGCCAAAAGCTGAGTGGATTCCAGAATCCCAAAAGCACTCACAAGAGGCTTGTGCCAGGAACCTGTTCGGGAGCGCTTGAAACTTGATTTAAGCAATGGGCACTGGGGACTGGCAGTGAGCTTATACCAGTTTGACGCGAGTTTCCCCGTGTGCTTTCTGGGTCCCAAAGACTGAAAAAGACCACCCCAGCCCC